GATCCCTAAGCAATACCAGTATCCACCTATATGTCAATGACAATCTCAAATAGTTTTATCTATATTTGGCACTCATAGAAAAATCAGCATATCTATATCAAACTTTGGTATAATATGTACTATGTTTGTAATTGAAGCGATAGGAATTAAAGTATAATGTTTAATATGTTTAAGAATCGCATATTTATAAAAATAGTAATGATTCACATTGGATGGATATGCAAAATCATACCAATGGACGAGGGCAAGTTCGAGTTTCTTATTTAACTTTGGAGATGTAATTCGGAGGATTAGAAGAACCTAAAAATAAAAAATACACAATTAGAATATTTATTTTAAAATGCGATTCGAGTAGCATTCAAATATATAAAATGTGCCATATGCTTTTAAAGTTGCATCTTAGTTAATATATATCTTTGCGTAATATAAGCTGCCATCTGTCAGATAATCATTTTGTTCTGATTCATCCATTTCAACACAAACATCTAAGAAAGCCTTCTGTCCATAATAGTTAGAGGATGCACGAATAATTACCTTATAATCGTTATCTAAATAAGCATGCTCGAATGCTTCAATTAAGATAGTTTCATTCTCAATATCCTGTAATGACCAGTTTTCAATATTTAGAAAATAATCGTGGATGCAATATTTAAGTTGTCTAATGCTGTGCAACTATAAATTATCTAAACTTGATGTAGTTAGCTGATCTACAATTTGATCGATTGTATGCTATGTCATCTGTTTAGTTATTTTTTTGGATGTAATTCTATGATGTGAAACTTTACGTGACTGTGATTGAAACTTTGACATGAGAGACATAAAGATGTTTTGATGGGTTATCTTAAAATTTTCAAAAATGAACTGATATTAGTGATTTTCGCTTAAAAATCATTTTATTGGCATCACTAGTCATACTTACAGTTGCTTGCATTTGTGTATTTATGTTGCGTTTATTTGTATTACGGTATGGCTGTTTTACATTGGTTTTATGTAGTAATTCATATGTCTCGCTTGTAAAACCATTAATAGCCCCAAACTGACAAATTGACAGTATTAAATGAAATCGCCAACTGTGTAACTTGGGCAAATTTAGGTTAGATGGAGAAAATTTTGACAGAAGTTCTATAAACATAACACTCCATGCAATAATTGATTTCTGTTAGAATAAAAAATAGAAATAAAAAAAAATAATGAAAATATTTCTTATTAATTTTCAATTGAATCATTGTTAGGCCGTCTTTAGTTGATTTTTAGGTTAACGTCATTCTCCCCTTGTTTAACTGCCTCCTCCCAAAAATTAAACAAGCCAATTACAATGCAGCATAAACTTCATTAATCATGTGATTAATGTTAACCAATGAAAAATTCTTGGGACTATATGTGTTTATTTAAATTCCCCCCATGCCTGAACCTAAATATCGACGTTAACCTAAAAATCAACTAGAAGTGGCCTTATTAATAAGTTTACCTCAAAATCATTCATATCTGATTTGGTGTATTTGGATTGACAACTCCATATGTACATGTCAATCCATAATAAAAATAGGTCGCACAAATTCTTATTAAGTTTCTTGTCAGGTATTAACCCATCCAAGGCGAATAACACTATTTTCATTAAATCCCTATATTCTGTTGCAGTTAATCGCTTAAATTTGTCAAAACCATTTTTGAAAACCTTAAGGTTTGGGTGGCGAGGAATTTGAGAAAGACATTCCTCAAGATTCTTTATTGGACCATTACCATATCGTGAAATTAACAGTTTGACCGTGAATTGCAATTGATATTTAAAAAGTCCAAGGTCTGCATGGTGCATGCGATTAGGCACACACACATAGTATAAACATTAAAGAATCTATGAACAAATTCATTAATATAAGTACTATTATTATGAATTATAATTATTTCGAATAATGTTTTTTTAAATAATTAAAATTTAATTCATATAATTACTTACGGCCGCTTCCACAAGGCATTTCTTATATTATGTACAGAAATTTGTTTACCATTGCCTTGATGTAAAAACCTTTAACTGTAACTTCGTCACGGATAATTATGTTTGTTTTTTCAATGTGAACATTATTCATTGCATTACGGTCTACTAAGCAGAAATGACACGGGTGTAATGAATTTGGTGAACTGTAAGTTGCACACATCGCGCATGCTTCGGGCCAATCTGAAATTATGAGTGCCAAA